CCCTGTCTCCTGCTCTCTCCCGAGATGCACCTGCCTCCTCTCCAAGTTCCATCTTTCACTGGGGCCTCTGAACCAAAGGGTGGCCCCAGGAGTGAGAACTTTGTTTCTGAGCCTCGGCACTCCAGGGTCATAGCCCAGAGCCCTTGACCGTGGTCCCTCAGCCGATGCACACTTTTGAGCTCTGGGCACCTCAGCCTCCCAGGATTATTACCATGTTCTGGCCTCTGTCCGCTCCCTCCTCTGGTCAGTTCTGGCCGCACCTTCAGGACACTGTTCATCTCTCCTTGACTCCCAACAGCTCCCCCACTCTAGAGTAGCCCCAACCTGGAGTCCAGGAGAGGAAAGTGGCAGAAAACACCTGGATCCCTTCCTTCTCTTGACCCAGCATCATGGCTGGTCCAGCTCTGTGCACCTGGGCGCAGATTGTGTCCTCTCTTTATGTCGAGGGCAATGTCTCTCGAACTTAGGTGTGGTTTCCGTGGATGGTGTGAGGTCTCCCGAAGAAGGCCCGAGAGTCCCTTCGGACATGCGTTTGTCCATTTTGAGTTCCACCTGTGCTGCCTGCATGACACAAGGCAACTCATTTCATGTTTCTGAGCCTCCGGCCCCTCATCTGCAAACTGGGCCGTAATCTTGGTCTCACGGGGGTTACGTCATGTTGTGTTCTATGCATAAAGACATGTGCAAATACAGTGCCTGGCACACAGTAGGTGCTCAGTAACAGATGGTTTCTGCCTGTCCCTGCAACTCTAGCCATTATCTGCTGACTTTTTAAAAAAGGAGAAGAGGAAAGAGAGAGGATGGGGTGAGCGGAGAGGGTGGGGACCCTGTTAGAAAGGGCTTCCCTTGACTCATATAGGAATGGGGAGGTGACATGAAGGCTTTGAGGAAGATAGTGAAGGCAGACTGTCAGAGATTCTGGTCAGGAGACCTGGGCTGCTCACTCAGAAACTGACCCTTCCCCTCTCCAGCCCTCAATGGTGTTATGTGGGAAATAAAGGGTTTGCTCTGAGGCACCCCCCCCTTCCAGCTCCAGTACCCTGTGCATCTTGCTCTAGTCTTTGCCAGGGAGTCACAAAATGGGATGTGTGTGTGGCAGGAGTGGAACTGTGGCCCTGGAGAGAGAGGGAGGACACAGGCCTGGAAGGGGGGAGTGATGATGGAGAACCCCGAGAAGCAGGGGTTGGGGAGGGGACCACGGAGAGAAGGAAAAGGGCACGGGCTGGGCAGGGAAGGAGGGCGGAGGAAGAACAGAAAACATAGCTCGCCAGCCCTGTGGCCTGGCCCAGGAGCACTCTAGCCGGGCCTGGGGGCAGAGAAACCCAGCGCCCCCTCCTGCCCCTCCTCCTTGCCTCCAGTGAGAGCCGCAGCCTGAATTATGGATGAGGCTCCTTGGGTTACAGCTGCTTTGCACGGCAGTGAGGGCCAGAAATGGCAACGGAGTGACTGTTACACAGCAGCTGTCATGGAGGGGCCTCCTCAAAGAGCCTGCAGGAGAACGCTGTCTCCGAATTGGGGAGGTGGGCCATGACGGGGAGATTTGGGGGCAAGGGGGAGAAGGTGTGGGGAAAGAAGAAAGGAGTCCCCCAATGTGTGTAAATAGGGGAGCCAGGGAGTTGTGGATAAGAGGGTTGCTGGCTGGCTCCGTCCAAGCTCAGCCTCCAGGCTGGGAGACCCTGGTGCCAGGAGCGTGACCCCGACTCTGGAGCACTCTGATACCCTCTGTCTCTCCTGGGGTTCCAGCCAGCCCTAGAGGCTGGGGGAAGAGCTCCAGTCCTCCCCAGGGAAGGCGGCCTTCAGAACCGACACTCTAGTGAGCTTGTGGATAAGGGGTGAGATTAAGGGATCAGAGAAGGATTTGGCTTCCTCTGGTGTCAAGTCCTTGGGGACGCGAGCTCAGAGGGTGACTGTGCCAGGAAGGGAAGCGCCCTGGCCAGGCAGCAGGAGACTCCTTTCTGGTCCTTGTCCTGCCAACCACTTTGCTGTGTGACCCTGGGCAAGTCGCTTGCCCTCTCTGAGCCCCATTCGCGCCCTCAGGAGAACAAGAGCTTCTACCAGATGAACCTGGAGGACCTTTCCAGCTCTGAAATCTCCCATTCTAAACCCCAAACCTCAGCCCTGCTGAAACCCACCCAGGGTCCCCTACCCACTCCACACCCCACCCCTGCCAGGTTCAGATGAGGGGTGAGAGACATGCTCCTCCACCCCACGTGGCTCTGAGAAACTCAGGAGAAAGTAATCGTGAAACGCCACACGGGGGAGGGGTGAGAAGGGCCGAGAAACGCGGAGGTGGTGTGAACGAATGGAACAGCAGCCGCTGTGTCACTGAGTATTACATCACACTCAGCCTACACATGCACGGGGCCGGCACTCACACACACGGGGGACAGCCAGCACACACTCGTGCACACGCCCGGCTCCGCGGCTGCGGGGAGGGGCCGGGTGCTCACGGCGGCGGAGCCCAAAATCCAAGAGAGGGAGCACCGCACACCCCGAGCATGGGGTCCCTCACTCCCACCTGTGTGTCCCTCCACGGGAGGAGGCACGCTGGAACATCCATGATGTCTAGGCCACACTCAGGGCCTGTGGTGCCGCATACACACTCAGGGCTCAGCAGCTCTCCATGTAGCCAGCACCCAGCTCAGACACCGGCATGCACGCACACCACTTACTGGGCGCCAGGCATCACATGCTATCTTGGATCCCTCAGTCCTTTCTTCCATCTCTGAACCCCAGCCCCGCTACCCCCTTCCCCACCCCCACACCCCAAGCTGAGGTCCTTGGGTCCAAGGCCTCGTCTTCCTCCCTTCTGCCTTCATAGGCCTAGCACACTGCTTGAGGCAGAAGGTACTCAGTGGATGTGTGCTCAGGTAATGACTTTCCAGCTTTTGGGGTGCAGGCTCCCCTTCTCCCCAGGTAAACCTGCCAGAAGGAAATTCCAGGAGTCATCTGGAAGTCATGACAAAGGGTACAGGTCAAGCCAGTTCTGGCCCAGACATTTTGGGGCCTAGACACAGGTCAAGCCAGTTCTGGCCCAGACATTTTGGGGCCTAGACACACCCCTTTAGACCCCAGACCCTTGGGCCTCCCTGGGCCTGCTTCTACATCTGCATCATAAGAAGGGTGGACCATATCTAACCTCCAAAAGTTACTTTGAAAACAAAGACTTTTTTAAGTGACTCTGAATAAGAAGACCCTGGGGTGTGAAATGCAGATTGCCCGGCTTGGCTCTCGTCCAGGAATGCTGATTCTGCACAGACAGGGCCGAGGAAGCGCCATTCTTTCTGGGACGCCCCCCTCCCCTCAGCTGATTCTGTTGCAGGTGCCTGGTGGCCTAAGTTAGAGACCCACTGCACCCTGGTCCCTAACACCCTTCCAGGGAGGAGACACTCAGGTTCTTCCAGGGTGAAAGCTGCAGGCGGGCTGTGCCCACGGGTGGGCTCGGCAAGACACAACCCCAGGGCAGCCCAGAGGGCCATTTTGCACCGGGCTTGGATTCACAAACGGTCTCGATTTCGTTCCAGCCATTCTCAAATGGGGGCGATTGTGCGCCCCAGGGGACATTTGGCAATGTCTGGAGACATTTCGGTTGTCATAACTAGGGGGAAGGTGTTACTGGCATCTCGTGGAATGCTAGATGCTGCTAAACACCCTACTAGGACACCATATAGGACTGCCCCCCCCCCACAACACAGAACGACCCCACCCCCTGATGCTCAATACCGAGGTTAAGAAGCCCGACAGTTAACATGGTCCAACCGACCACAGTGAAAATAGGAATGAAAAGGCGACCACTCATGAAACAACTTTCAACATATCACAGTGCTTTCTTTCTACCTCGTCCGGCCGGCGTTTCTTTATTTTTCAGTATGCCGAGAGCCTCACAAAAGTGGAAGTGGCCAGGGCCTCTTGTGGCCCTGAGGTTGCTCGCGCCCAGAATGCCCCTACTCAGGAGAGCCCCGTTAGGGGTGGGTGGGCAGGGCCCCGGTTGGCGCTCCTGCGCCTGCAGCCCGCGCCGAAAGGCCTCGCCGCTCTCCCCACAGGTCCCGCCTCCGCCTGCCTCCTGCTGATGCTCCTGGCCCCGCCCCCAGCAGCCCCCAGCTGCCCCATGCTCTGTACCTGCTACTCGGCCCCGCCCACCGTGAGCTGCCAGGCCAACAACTTCTCCTCCGTGCCGCTGTTTCTGCCGCCCGGCACCCAGCGACTCTTCCTCCAGAACAACCTCATCCGCACGCTGCGGCCCGGCACCTTCGGGCCCAACCTGCTCACCCTGTGGCTCTTCTCCAACAACCTCTCCACGATCTACCCGGGCACCTTCCGCCACCTGCAGGCCCTGGAGGAGCTGGACCTCGGGGACAACCGGCACCTGCGCTCTCTGGATCCCGACACCTTCCAGGGCCTGGAGCGGCTGCAGTCGCTGCATCTGTACCGCTGTCAGCTCAGCAGCCTGCCTGGCAACATCTTCCGCGGCCTGGTCAGCCTGCAGTACCTCTACCTCCAGGAGAACAGCCTGCTCCATCTACAGGTGAGCCGCCCCGCCCAGTGTGCGCATGCTCAAAGACGCACACACCCACACCGGCCCAGCCACCTACACACCCTTCTTCTGCTTTCCTATCTGGCTCTTCGGTCCCTGTGTGTGTCCCTCCTCTGTCCCCAGGCTACCCTTCCTGCTTCTCTCCATTTCTCTGTCCCTGAGTGTCCCTCTCACTTTCTGAGTGTCCCTCTCACTTTCTCTAGGGATTTTTTTGCGGGGGAGAGGGCGGTTCTTCTGCCTATCTTCCCCCGTCAGTCAGTTTATCTACGCCCGTTTGGTTCCCTTGCTGCCTCTCACTCCCCAACCCCTGACGTGTCCCCCTCTGCCTGTCTGTCTGTCTATCTCGTTCTGTCCCTCTCCGCCTCTCTCACTAACTTGCCTCCCCCATCTGTCTTCTTCTGCCTCTTCTGTCTGTCTCCCTTCACACGCCCACCCCGCACACACCCCCATGTCTGTCTGGGTGTATGTATGGGCCTCTTTCTATGATCTCTCCTTTCCCCTTTGTTTGCCTTCTGGGGGCCTCTGCCTTTCCCCCTGGCCCCCTGGCCTGGAGGCCCCCTGGCTGCTTTTCTCACCCACCCCCACTCCCTCCCACATCATGGGAGGTGGGGCAAGAGAGCGGAGCCACTGCAGCCTGTGTCTCGCAGAAGGGTCCGCCTCTCTCCAGCTCACTGGGTAATGAGACGAGGGGAAGCCCTACCCTTTCTAGATTCTCATCCCCTAAACCTATTGTCTCAATGGAAAGGAAGAAGGGGAAAAAAGGGTGAATGGCTATTAAGTAGCAGAAGATGGATGCTCTGAAAACGGAAGGAATAACAGTAATTGCTATTTATTGTTATTATTATTGATCTAAATACTGTTTATTGTTGTTAAGCTGACTGTTTGACAGTCAAATCCTCCCATTCTGTTTCCCCAGGAAGCAATAACACACCCTCCAAACCACTCTGGGAGAAAACCCTCCCTGGGCTCCACAGCCTCTGGCTAGAAGGGGGCAAGGACATCCAGATTCTCCCCTCTCCCCACACAGGCCTGGAAGGCACTGCCTCCTCCCACTGGGTTGGTGCCTAACTGATCACCCATGTGCTGAACTGCAGATCAGGTCAGGGTCGATGGTGATAAAGACAATGACGATGGCAATAATTTAGCAAACGTGTGGCAACCCACTATGAGCGAGGTGCTGGCATAACTCCCTGCCATAGAGAGCGTTCTAGTGGGGGAGAGAGACGAGAAGCAGAATACAGTAGTCCCCCCTAATCTGCAGGAGATACATTCCCAGACCCCCAGTGGATGCCTGAAATAGCGGATAGTACTGAACCCCACGTGTACTACGTTTCTCCTATATAAGAAAGTAAGAGAGTAACAACAATAACTAATAATAAAGTAGACCTGTTGTAACAATATGCTGTCATAAAAAATATGTGAATGGATTTGGAAACATTATTAAGCAAAATAAGGGTTACTTGAACACGAACACTGTGACACTATGACAGAGGAACCAAGGCTACTAAGCGGCTAATGAGTGGGGGACGAATACAGTGTAGACAGGCCGGACAAAGGGATGGTTCACCTCTGGGCTGGATGGTTCACCTCTGGGCTGGATGGCGTGAGATTTCATCACGCTTCTGAGAACAGCGCGCAATTTAAAACTTATGAATTGTTCATTTCTGGAATTTCCCATTTCATATTTTCAGGCCATGGTTGACCGCGGGTAACTGGAACTGCAGGAAGCAAAACCGTGGATGAGGGGGCACTACTACAGTATATTGGGAAAATATGGCGTGGGCATTATTATTTCATCGATAATGATAATAATAGCAGCACCCACTACCACTTAGCGGGGCACGCTGTGTTGGGCGCTGTGAAGAGAGCTCTGTAGGTGTCGACTCCGCCATTCACAAGTGTGTGGCATTTTTTAATCCCCCCGAGCCTCCGTTTTTTTCATCTGTAAAAAGGGGGTAGCGCCAGCACCCACCTCCTAGGGATTTCATAAGTGTAAGTGCGTGAATAATTTGTAAAGCTCTTAGAATAGTGTCTGGCATATGATAAGCACTATGTACCTGGTTGTTAGAATACTATTTCAAAAGAGAAACCAGCCTCATTTAACCCTGGTCTCGGTGAAATGGCCCTTCTTGAACCTCATCCTGGAGATCTGAGTCAATGTCAAGGATGATACTGAGGCCATGGGTGAGCCCCAGAATGCTCCCTCCCTTTTCTTTCCTTCCTCAATTTGCCGAGCACCTCACGGTTCCAAAGCTCACTTGGCCGCATCATCTCATTTCTACAGCCCTGTCAGGATATATTTGCCCCTCTTCACAGATGAAGAAGCTGAGGCCGAGGGTCCCAAGACTGTAGATATAAGGCCTCCACGTGTGAAGTCTCTTAAACCATTGTCCATGTGACTGTGGGCTCACCAGCGCGTTGGACCTCACGACAGCCTGGCAGTAGGGACAGTTGGGGGCAGTAGGCACAAGGAATGAAGTTCCTGAGGCCACACAACCAGGAGGAGCTGGTGGTGCTTGAGCCTGCACGGGCTGACAACATGTCAGGCCGTTTGCATCGCTCGGAAGTCTCCACTTGGGTCTGTCTGGGAGGAGGGGGTTGGTCCCCACAAGTACCGCAGTGCGGGCTCATTTTTAAAGTCACTGGCTTTGGAGTCTCCCAGACGTAGGTTCGAATCCTGGCTCCTGTCTGACTTTGGGTGAATTACTAAACCTCTTTCAATCTCCACTCTCATCTGTAACATGGCAGTCATGATAGTACTTAATGATACGAAGAAGTTTTGCAAGGATCAAGATTTAGCAGAGGGCCACACTCGCTAATGGGCGCTGTCATCATTGTTCTCATGACTACTAGTAGTATGGCAAGTACTACCACTGAGACCCGACCTTCTTATAAATAGTTATTAGTTGTTCAGAACGAGAAATCTGAGGTCAGAGGGCTTGAGGTTGAATCTCTGCTCTGCTATTTTCTGACTTAATTTTGGGCACGTCACCTCTCCTCTCTGAACCTCAGTTTCCTCATCTTTAAAATGGGAATAGTAAAAATAATACCTTCCACAAAGGATGGCTATAAAGAGTAAATGAGTTTATCTGTATAAAGCACATAGTTCAGTACTGAATAAATCACGTCATTATCCAGGGCCTGGGGACAGGAAAGGCCTAGGCAAAGGGGATCTTGAGTGAGCACTGGAGTCTCCTGAAATGAGACGTGTTTGTTCTGCACGCCCCTGGTATGGATGATGTGGGGCTCTGTGGGAAGGATGCATCTTCACACCCAGCCCTTTGTAGGAGAGAAAGACAGACAGCCTCCGCCTGTGAACTGCCGGGAGGAACTAGGCTGGGAGGTGCCACAGGCAGGTGGAGAAACGAGAGGGCTGGTGTGAGATCCAGAGAATGCAGGTGTGATCCGGGATGGAGCCAGGCCTGCCCTGAGAGGGGGCGAGAGGACCACAGCCTTTCGGGATGAGGAAGGTGGAAGTGGAAATGGGGTGGGGCGGAGGTTCTCACAGACTGCCTTCTGTATGCCAGGCACTGTGCCAGGTGGGTTCATTCATCAATTATCGAGCACTTGCTACATGCCAGGCAGCGTTCTGGGTGCTAGGGACGCAGGAGTGAACAAAAACAGTGTCTCCGCTCTCCTGCAGCGTATTTCCAGTTTGAGTGGAAGCAGGTGATAGAGTCACCGTTCTCTCTTCTAATCATTACAGGAGCCTGTATGGTGTATAAGAGCAATCTTCACACTCAGGCGGCTCTGAGTTTGAATGCCAGCCCCACCTCCAATTTGCTCTATGGCTTTGGGCAAGTTGCTTAAGCACTTTAAGCCTCAATGGACCCATCTGTAAAATGAGGGAAACGACCTGTACCTAGGGGGTTTGTTGTGAGGATTGTAAATGCTTCTTGTAAAGGGCTTCACATGGTGTCTGGTTCAGAGTAAGCATCATTTCCTCCATTTCACAGCTGAGGACACTGAGGCTCAGTGAAGTTAAGGTACCAGTCCGAGGTTACCCAACTTAGTAAGGGGCACAGCCTACAACTGGCCCAGATCTATCAGACTCAAATGCAGGTGTTCAGAGCCCTGTCTCGAGTTCACATCTGCTTTCCTCTATATAATAGCTGGTGAACCTGAGCAAGTCGTTTGCCTTCTCTGAGCCTCCCTCTCCCGGTCTCTGAAAGAGGGGTAATAACATTATCTGCTTCATAGGGTTGTGATGATCAGGTTACGACACGGGCCATGTGTAGCACAGATCTTGGCTCACGGTTAAAGCTCAGGAAATCAGCTGCTTGCCATGATAATGACACTGGCGTAGACTGGTGAGCACTGTCAGTGGGGGTGCCTGGCACATCAGAGACGCTCACTACAGCTTTGTTGAATGAATGAGGTACATTCCAGGACTCACTCACTCATAAATATCAGATGAAGATGAATCTTAATGATCACTATCTCAAGTCCCTTGTTTCACAGATAAAAAACTGAGACTCAGAGAAGCACCCGGAGCTGCCCAAGGTCAGGCAGCCCAGCCACTAGTGCCAAAGACTGGGGCTTGAGAGGTAGGAAGGAGGCAAGGTTAAGAACAGGATGCTGTCCAGGGAAAGGGGGCGGGGATGCTGCCTTGAGATTCCATATGGACGCAGAGAGCTGTGAACTGGCTGGGGGAGGAGAGGGAAATGTGGTTTTGGAAATGGAAGATGACTTTAGCAGACGTTCTCAGCCCAGAGAGAGGGGGTGATGGAGAGCGGGGCGGGGGGGCGGGGAGGGCGAAGGCTGTGAAAGTCAAGAGCTTATTAATGCACAGAGAATGGTTTTTAACGGTGGAGAGAGGAGGACGGATTTGAGAGCTGCAGCTGAGGAAGTGGCAGCAGGATTTGGCAAACAGTTTGGACGTGGGGAATGGACCCCCTAGGCTGAGGCTCAGAGAGGGAAGGAGCAGGACTTTTGCAGAGGGGAAAAACGGGAAGGACAGGAGGTGGGAATCAAGGAATTCTGTAGTTCACAAATTGGGGCTGTGGGCCAAAGGCACCTGAATGTCCTAGGAGCTCCAAACTTTTGGTTTTTCTCTTCCTGACATCCCAAAGCTCCTGTACTCCCTCTATGCTGCCCGCCCCCCCAAGTTCGATCCTCTGACCAGGTATCTGTGGGTGTGTCCTACTCTCACTGACACTCCAGAAAAAAAAGAGAAGCCCTAACTGGGTGTTTGAGTGGAAGGTACTCAGAACTCACTCCCTGGCTGGGCTGAGAAGAGAAAGACAAGGGCATCTGGCCAAGTTGGGCCAGGCTAAGGACACAGAGGTACAGGGAGCCCACCGGAGACCTGAGCTGGGCATGGGGGGCGTGGCACAGGGGGCCAAGAACGCTGGCGTCAGAGGCAGCTGAGAAGGTTGAGGGGGACGGATCTCAATGTGGCCAAGAGGAGGATTCTTGGCAGGCTCAGTTCCTGGAGCAGAGGGCGGGGGCCGGATGGGAGGGTGTGAGGACATGCAGGCGCACAGGGGTGGGTGCTGTGGGTGTGGGCTGGGAGTCAACGCCCTCGCCTGACCTGAGCACCTGTGACCAGGCTCCTGGGTGGGGTTGGGGGATCATCTCCCCAGGCAGGGACAGGTGGGAGAGCCACAGCCAGGAAACAGGACCCCAGGGTGAGCTGGCTTGAGCATAGAGGATGCTCACGTCCCTGAGAACTGGCCCTCCCGGGCCTACTGACCACTGCGATGTGGAGAACCTCAGTCAGTGGGATCTGACCTCTCTCTGGCCAGCCCTCCATCTCTCTGGGTCTCTGTGTTCCCCTCTGTAAAAAGTGGGCTGGGCTGGTGGACGCAGAGAACCAATTCCCAAGTCTAGCTGATTGATCATCATCAATACCTAGGTGAGCTAGTTAAAATGCGGAGTCCAGCCTCTGCCCCCTCCCACACATGGAGCATACCTACTCCCCTAAACCCACACCCCTGTTCATGCTGAGGTCCTTCCAGCATCAGTATGCTCTGAACTGGGGGGGTGGGGGCTCCCCAGCCCTAGACAAGTGGGACAGCCCTTTTAAGGCAAGCAGTGATGCAGGACATCAGGCAGCTGGCTCCTTCCCCTCCCCTGCTACCTCTGGAGCTGACACCTGGTCCCCTTAATATCCCAGCCTATTAGCAGAACTTTTGGGCCCCAGGGAGCTCCTCTGTTAGCACAAAAGGGATGCCACTTATCTGAGCTCCTATTGTCATAATAACCACCATCTCTTGATGGTGGTCTATGTGCCTACTAGGTCCTATACCCTTACAGCATGATTTCATCTAACCTTCCATCGGCATGCTTGGCGGGGGAAGGCAGTCTGCAAGTTATATAGACCAGGGAAACTGAGGTGCTACGAAGCTAAATAACTTGCCCAAAGTAACACGGCTGGGAAGAGGGCAAGGCGGATTGGCACCTGGGGCCGTGACTCCTGAGCCTGTGGGCTTCGTCAATGGACCGGATCCTGGTGTGTGGGGCACTGTGCCCAGCACTTCACTGTCTGATCTTTATGTGGATCATCTTCTTTAATCCTCAGGGCAAACCCATGAGGAGGTACACTCATCCCCATTTTATAGATGAGGCTACAGGCTTAGGGAGATTAGTGGCTTGGCCAAGTTAACAATAATGGCCAACTTGTAGGATGCCTTCCACACGGAAACCTTGTTCTAAGCACCTTAATACATGGTGCTTCATTTAATCTCTGCATCGTACAGATGAACAAACCGAGTCACACGGATACTCTAGGTGGCACAGTCAGCTAATGACAGATCAGGATCTGAAGTCAGGAAGTCGGGCTCCCCAGCTGGCAGGCTTACTCAGCCCAGAGCTTCTCATTCTCCATGTGGTCCTCTGACCAGCAGTCAGCATCACTTGGGAACTTGGAAAGACAGGCAGACTCTCAGGCCCCACTTGTTGAATCATAAACTCTGGTGGCAGCACTTGGGGATCTGCAGGGGATTCTGATCCACCCTAAACTTTAAGAAACACTGACCTTGACTACATTGTTCTTCTCATATTAACCTCTAACTAGGTTATATCGAAGACGCAGGATTCAAACTCAGGTCTCCCAATCGAAAGGTCAAATTCTTTCTATTCCCGCGGTCCTCCCTTTCCTTCCCCTCCTCCAGGCCCTGAGGGGAAAGTTCCCACTTGTCTCAGCATCACTCTCTTCTTCTCCACCCCCCCCCACCCCCCCAGGATGACCTGTTTGCGGACCTGGCCAACCTGAGCCACCTCTTCCTGCACGGGAACCGCCTGCGGCTGCTGACTGAGCACGTGTTCCGCGGCCTGGGCGGCCTGGACCGGCTGCTGCTCCACGGAAACCGGCTGCAAGGCGTGCACCGCGCGGCCTTTCGCGGCCTCAGCCGCCTCACCATCCTCTACCTGTTCAACAACAGCCTGGCTTCGCTGCCCGGCGAGGCGCTGGCCGACCTGCCGGCGCTCGAGTTCCTGCGGCTCAA